GATTAATTAATGAGTTCAGTGTGGGAAGCTGTCAGGGCATCTCTGATCAAGCAGGTCTTATCTATATCTCCTAGGAATTGGGCAGAAAGAAATAAAGATCTCTGTTGTCTAAGTCTCTGAATTGTAATTTATGTCTGTCAAAATACATAGTTACTGGAACCAGCCTTTTATTTTTTAAATGAGTTTGATATAAAGATATTAAGATCAATTTGATTTTGTATAATTAATTATGATATATTTTTTTTCAACAATCAATTTGCAGAGTGTCATGTCTCACAAAGATGACATATAGTTGCAAACTATTTTTTCAATGTAATAAAAAACACTGTAATTACTAGCATGTGACTAGTATCGATGTTTTATGAGGCTGCACCTTAGTTTCATTCATTAAAAAAAATATAATGAGTAATTAAATTTTCACTCTAAATGTTTAAGCAAATTGTGAACACCTCTCACATCTAGAAAACATTAGTGATTTGGTACCTTCTCTGAAAAACCCAGCGGGGGGTATTTGTCCCTTTTGGACAGTTCTAGTTTAATTAGATACATGTAGCTGCTTTGGAACATCTGAAAGGTCTATTACATTATCACTAGTTTTACTAGTTTTCTTCATGTAAGTTGAATATATTTTAAACTTTTAAATTTTTATTTTTTCCAGGTAAGAAAGAAATTCAGGAGTTCTTAAATTGCCCTTGGAGTTCTTGGATTGCATCAAACTGCTAAAAGACCTCAACAAAAACAGCGTCTTGAAAATAAAAATGAAAATATTCAGTGAAAAAAAAAATGATGAAAGAGCCACTAAAAATCTTCAAGCCTTTGAGCTGAAATCTGGAGGTCAATCTGTGGACTTTACTAGTATGTCACAATTACTAAGTCATCATTTGTGTATAATAAATACACTAAACTGTAAACACTTGTTAAAATGTGTATAATTTTTAGATATAATTTGTAGCTCACAGACTTCAATAGTTTCATGTAATGTAAGTAATAATGAAAATTTCCTGTTGTCTAGCTAGATTAGAAACTAATATTGTCCAATTTTGGATATTGTGAAATAATTCATCTAGTATGCATACATGTGTGTACACTTACGTGTAAATTAATTGTTATAGCAAATTCAATCGATCATTAAGTTGAATGTTGACTAATGTTTTTCATCAAAATTGTTTACACTGAATTGTTTGTGGATTTTTCCATTTGCCCAGTCATGTCAAGGAGCACATGGCAGGAAATGCTTTCTCCTCCATTGCACCTGGTGTTTTTAGAGGTCTGTGTTTGCTCTGCTCTAATTATGTATTGTTTCAATGGACTTTAAAGCTTGATCACTGTTTGTAATCTTCATATTTCATATACTATTAGAGTACTTGAAGAAAACTGTAAAGATTTAACATACAGTATAATGCATGTATATTGCACTTTAAGTACAGTGTATGTGGTTAAGAAATGTTAAATCGTCTCATAGTGCATTGAATTTGTTGAAAATTAGAAAATGTGTTGAATTTTTTTTTTAAATAATGTTAGATTGCAGATTTTTTTAAATCATGCAAGTAAGAAATTGCTAAATATTTTTTAGCTTTTCTGGACAGTCTAGATGAGTTCTTATTATATACCTAGCATTGTCATCCCAGTTAAAATTTAAGGAGCAAAGTTCATTCCTAAGCTCTACCTTGACAAACTTGCATGGATTAAAGCACATTAACAGATTTACTTCAGATGCTTGACCTGATCTACATTTTCCTCATGTGTTTTTTTTTTTGTTTTTGTTTGTTTGTTGTTTAACATCCCTCTCAAGAATTTTTCATCCATATGGAGATGCCACTACTTGCTGGTGGAGAGCTGCAAAATTTGACCTATACTTTGCACTCAGGGCCTTGAGCAGTAAGGGATCTTTTTTGTGCCCACATCAACTGCTAGGCGGGACCTCGGTTTATATGGTCTAATCTGAAGGACTGGTCCCCACATCCCCAGTGGATTTGAACCTGAGACTTAAGGATTAAATCCTTACTCGCGGCTCTAGATTACAAACTCTATCCTTTGCGCCACATGGGGGACTCCACAAGATTAAGTGTTTTTAGCAGTCCTATTCTCATGTAATTATAAACTCTATGTTGAACAAACCTGCAAAGATGATGTATGTACATGTAAATGTTTCAGGGTACCAATCCTTGATTTGACTTAGATTTTCTGGATTAATGACCAGTTTTTTAGAGAAGGTTCATTCAAAGTAACAATATACTCTTTGGTGATCAGTAAACATAGATGATGTATCCTGCTTCTGATGCTGGATGTAACATACATTTTCAGGGTTATTGAGCAGTTAAATCTAACCCAGACCAACTTGCATAGATTTTGGATCCAGGTGATATACATTACCAGAGTGTTTGTTGAGTGAGACTTTGCCTTACTAGTAGATAACATTTATAGAAGTGAGCTTTGTATTCTTTGATTAGGTATGTTTTTTCTTTGCTCAGGATATATATACCATCAGTGCCAACTACCATACATTTTATATAATAGATGTAGCTGTTGTTCAACTGAATATGATAAAACTGTGGATGAAAATAATTTGATTTTTGTACCTGAATGTATTGAATTCATTTGTAAAAGCTGTTATAATGCAATGTTTGATATTTTATAAAAGTTTTTAGCATATGCAATCAATAAATGTATCAACATTTTTATTTTATTATACTTTTTACCCTGCAAACTTCTTAAAAACAGAATAGTAATGATCCATTTAACTGATACTAGGTTAGTGTCACATTGTACTGGTATATCATGTATACTGAACTGTAAATAAGAAACATCTAAATAGGTAAAGTCACAGCATGAATCATTGGATTATGTAAGAAGTGCACTATCTTGTGCTTTGGTATGGTATTAATAATAAATGTTAAACTATCATTTTTTTTTTCAAATTAACAAAGGATATGCTTGAGTGACTGTATTTTGACTAGCAGTAAAAATAAAATGATTTTTAAGCATTTGAATTATTTTGATTCATGGTCTCTGCAAGTTTAATGATAGCAAATATGTATATTGAACATGGCATCCACATATTGCTATACTGGATGGGGCATAACTTTTACTGAATCTTAATCACAACCTTGAAATTTTATGTAGTACATGTACTCTTGGTTTCAACTGGTCAAATGTATTCTTAAATCAGAAAGATAGGTCAGAACTTCATCAATTAGTTGGAAAGCGAATGCACTCAGTGACTATATGGTTTAAAAGAAGCTTGGTATAAATAGCAGGAAAAACTACTTGAAGTCCACTGTGAACTTTGTGTCCTCAACAAAACAATATGGAGTATACTATACTTGGTCTAAAGAATAATCTATGTCTGCATTCACTTTTAGGTTAAACTGTTTTGGGCATTGAGAGTTTGTTGTTTAACGTCCCTCTGGAGAATTTTTCACTCATATGGAGATGCCAACACTTGCCGATGGAGAGCTGCAAATGAGCTATGCTCGGCACTCAGGGCCAATGGGCAGTGAGGGATCTTTTTCATGCAAGCATCTACTGCGACACTGGACCTCTGTTTGTACGAAGGACCGGTCTCTACGTCCCACAGTGGGATTCAAACATGTGAGAAAAGGATCAACTAACTCCACGACTCTAGAGCATTGGCTCTTTCCACTGCACCACGTGGGCGACAGCATTGAGAGTTAAATGTGGATATCAGAACAAGCTACTCTGGGCTTATACTCTCTATATATATTGATTGATTGTATGTTGTTTAACATTCCTCTCAAGATTTTTTCACTCAAATGGAGACACCACCACATGCCGGTGGAGATCTGCAAATTTTGTCCTGTATCGGCACTTACGGCCATTGAGCATTGAGGGATTTTTTTCGTGCCAGCACCTACTGCGACACAGGACCTCGATTTATACGGTCTCATCTGAAGGACCGGTCTCCCCATCCCACAGTGGGATTTGAACCTGCGACGTAAGGATCAACTCCTTACTTCGCTACTCTAGAGCAGACGCTCTAACCACTGCGCCACTGGGGCAACTACTCTCTATTTAAGTCACTTGTGCAATGACTTTAGTTTAATTCAACGTTTTGTACTGATCATGTTGAGTCACATTAGCACAAATATCTTTCTGCTGACCTTGACTAATGACCATCCGCAACTATTCTGGTTGGAAACAATATGTTAATTAATGCATAATAAGTGAAATTACTATGGAAGAAAAATGGTCTACTTAAACCACAAGTTATATTTATAAAAAATATACACTGGTCTCCTTAAGTCATATGAGAGAAACATAAAATATTAAGGAGACCATTTTTTTCATATATTTTTAGGAGGCATTTATTATGAAAAAATAAAGCAAGAGTCGACTAAATGGTGTTCTATAGATCTTTGATCTGGTATTTCTTTTTAGAAAAAAGCAAATTTAAAAAATTTGTATATTGTCTCCTTAAGCCATATATAATGGTCTGGTCTCCCTAGTCCTTAAATCAGAGTTATATATATATATATATATATATATATATATATATATATAGATGAAAAATGTAATAAAAAGAAGTGAAAATTTTAAAACGCAGTGTTAATTATTTTTCACTGTAGACAACTTGTTCACGATTTTACCGGACAACCCTTATACAACGCTGATATTATCATCATAATTTTAGAAATTATCACTTTTGAACATTTGAAATTGTTTTAATGACCAAAGCCTTTAATTTCACATCATATCGAAATGAAACAATTTCCTACAAAGTTCAAATTACTAATTACCCTTTATGCGGCTCGTTTGTAACTTTCAAATTGATAGTAAACGACGATTAACAAAAATTCCAGCATATTCGAACTTTACATGATGAGTATATAATCTTTCATTTCCTGAAGTTCTTTTAAAGTTCTCAGAATACAGGAAAAGAAGGAATCTCTACAGGAAAAGATGAAATATCCACTGACAATATGCTTATTTTTCATAATCCACTATTTTCCAGGCATGGCTTTACCAAGTTTCATTCGATGATGCCTATTCTCAAACTGAATGTTAACAACATGTTCAAAGGACATTTTCATTTTTTTTCAGGTAGTCTTGCACACAAATATTTTACACTTAACAACAACGTCCCCGGGACCATCTTTATAGGAACACAGGAAGATTTATTGATTAATGCCAATGCAAAGCTATCAAAACTCCAGGGCCCTACATCCCCGACCCTCAGGCAACTACAACAGGATCAGTTAAGCTTCGACATGGAATTATGTGATATTATCACCATCTCTAAAGGGTCTTTTAATGTTGCTGGAGAATCAATTCCCAAATCAGGTATGTAAATCACATTTATAGGCACGCGAACTTAATTATTTTTGTGTAATTATGCGTGATCATCGGCCCCAGTCTAAAGTGAAATTCCTACTGTATTTTTCGAGGGGGTTTATTTTTCGTTGTTTTCGTGATATGAAGAGAACACAAATTTATGTCCTCCACTACATGATAAGATACGAAAGATCCTTCACTGCTCAATGGCCCTGAGTACGGAAGCCGGTTGGTGCGAGGTAGAAAAAATATTTTATCTGGCGGCCGCCACATGAATAACTGGCGGCCGCCAGAAAGTTATCTGGCGGCCGCCAAATAATTTTCTGGCGGCCGCCAGATAATTATTTGGCGGCCGCCAGATAAAATATTTTTCTACCTAGCACCTACCGGCGTCCGTATAAAGACGAATATTCTTTTTTTTTAATTATTATCATTAAACTTGAGATGCTGGATTGAAATTTGGCGCACAATTGTATACATTTTGACTTTTGAGAAACCCTTTCTGACCAAGCCGTCCTCATACGCATGTGCTTTGATTCAAACATCAGATTTTTTTGTCATTCCTGAGAGTTTACCTTATTGTTATTCTTTTAGATTTAGATCTAAAAAAGATCTTTGAATAGTTGGTATCTTTCCATGGTTTTTATTGATGTTTTACTTTTTTTTAAAAGGAGTTTTGTTCCAGTGCTTCAAGAGACCAGAAAATTCTGCAAACCTAATTGAAATTTTGACAATCATGACTACAAATACGGTATGTTCGATTTCGATTACTAGTAGTTTAGAGTATTCACTACAAACACACTTCTTAAAAATAAGTAAATTTTTAAAAACAAAACAAAATCAAAAACAAAAAAGTAAGAAAAATTGGTCCAATACATGTATATATTTTTTGAAAATATAAAGGTTTCGGGTAACTTATTTAAACCATTAGTCATTGTTCATGTCTGTCTAAAAAAAAAGACATTCCGTAATTTTTTTCATGTTTTACACATTTTTAAAAATTTGATTTCTTTATAGATTTATGAGCAGCTGTATAAGAACAAAGTTTCAATGTCTACATAAATTCACAACTAAGGAACACATCTTCTGTGACTTATTTATCTTCAAAGAGCACAGATATCTCTATCAAGGAATTATAGTAATAAAGTTTTCTGCTACATCATTATTATGTACGCTGTTATAACACCAATTCTTGTGTTTTATTGTCCTAAAATTTGTTTTATTGAAACATACGATTTTGCACGGGCCAAAAATGATTTCTATTGAAAATCGGGATAGGAGTGAATGGTACAAAGCATGAAATAAATAAAAGAAGATGATTTCAACAATACCTAATTCAAGAAAAAATTCCCCTTTTCATAAAATGTATATAAAATCCAATGATTACATGTAAGTAGGGGCCCCTGAAGCTCATTGAAGGTTCAGTTCTCTAGATCTGCAACCTCAGAAAGACTAGAAAAGTCGGTTTCTGTTTAAATGTCATAGGGAGATCATAATGCGTTTATTGCGAGATGAAAAGTTGGGGAAATTGCCACATTTGATCTGTCGAGATCATTGGGCGAGCTAGTTTATCAAGGAGCGCACACTGAGAGATCTTTCAGAGATTTGTGGTTGCAATTTTTTCCGTAGCAATCTCTAGGCGTTTGCTGAGCGATTACTTTTGCTACCATTAGATCTACGGAGATATCTGAGAGATCGAGTGTAACCAACAGGTATCACTGTAAAACCAAAGGAGATCACTGAGAGATCCATAGGCGTACTTAACATTTTTGCATTCTTTGAAAGACCTCTGAGGAATCATTAGAAGATCCAAGAGATCGTTGACAGAGCTTTTTGCGCTCTTTGAGAGACTAATTACCTTTTCGATCGTTAAGTGAATGTTTTGGGTAGACCACTGAGACTGTGGAGGTATTGTGTGAGACTGAAGGATCATAGCGATGGCTTAATTAATTGGCGACCGTTGTATAATATTAAAGTGCTGAAAATTTTGACGATAAAAATTAATCTTAAGATTTTTTTGTGAAAAGGGCTACTACACTTGCAGGTGAAAGTCCTGCCAGGGGCAAATTAAAGAATCATGTCTAGTGCAGTTGTGTGTCTTTCGACTTTAAGGAGAAAGGAATGTGGTAGTTAGGGCTATGTGGATCGTGAATATCGGTTTGGTCAAAGCATCTTACTAGTACAAAAAGAGGTCCCAGGTACGATTCCCATTCCAGCCATAAATTTTCATACTGCCTTTCCCACTTTACATACCAAAAAGAGTTAGTTTCCAGTCTTCCATTTCGCAGACCAGTTTACTGCAAACTAAACGGGTTTGCGATTGTTTTCACAGCCGAGTTTTGTTTGTCTGTTTGTCTTCTTCATTTCTTAAACGTCGCCGGCGTTGCGCAGTGGTTAGAGCGTTTGGAGTAAGGAGTTGATCCTTAGGTCTCGGGCTCGAATCCGACTGCGGGACGTGGAGACCTGTCTTTCGGATGAGACCGTATAAATCGAGGTCCCATGTCGCAGTAGGTGCTGGCACGATAGAGATCCTTCACTGCTCAAAGGCCATAAGTGTCTAGTACAGGTATCCACCGGCAGAGTGGCGTCGTCTCAATATGAGTGAAAAAATCTCGAATGGACGTTAAACCAAAAAAAATTTCCGCCACGATTACGGGAAACTCTATTGAGTTATCTTTCTTTTTATACTCAATGTGTGGACTAGATAATGCTTTAAATAAAATAGAACCTCTAAAACAAAAACTAACAACCAAAACAAACAGATAAACAAGGAAAGGGAATTAACCCTGCACTTTCCATCAATTGCTCTTGCTAGACATTCCATGCCTCTAGATCACATGAAGGCATCTGTTTCTATAATATAAGTTTATCCTCTTAAGTCATAATGATATTGACACAAGTGCCAATAAATACATATTTTAATATACATGTAAAGAAACATAAATATGGTAAATTATGATAGCGTTATGTATGTAAGCAAATGCTATCTTAGAAATTATTATTTCTTTTCAAAACATTTTAGGATGGAATTTGGAAATATACAATATTAAAAAACAAAAGTTTATTGGTCTAGTATAATTTTTCATGTCTAAGATGTACTTTAGGATTTATAATAACACAGAATATACAGCATAAATAAAAATAGTTTTGTCTACTGTAACTTTTCATGTCCAAGATGTGTTTTAGGGTTTATGATTAATATACAGCATAAAACTTGTATATAGAGGTACTGTGACCACCGAGGTCACAAAACGAACCCCCCCCCCCCCCCGCTCCCATATGAGTATATAATGGCAAAGTCCATTTAATTTGTTGCTATGGGAAAGCCTAAATATCTGTTCGATCAAAACATAAAGTAGGGGGTGCACAATGGCACTATGTAATAAAGATTCTGTGAAAGTTTCATTAAATTTTATTCTGTGGTATAGGAGGAGTTGCGGATAAGAAAGGAGTACCCCTAATATTATAGACAGAATGGCAGTGTCCATGTTTTGCTATGGGAAACCTGAAATAAGTGTTCAATCAAAAAGTAAAATAGGAGGCCACAATGGCACTGTGTGATAAACATTTTGTGAAATTTTCAATAAAATTTTATTCAGTGGTATAGAATGAGTTGCAGAAAAGAGATGGGTACCATTTATAAAAAGAAGGGCAGTGTCCATGTTACGCTGTGGGAAACCCGAAATATGTCTGATCAATACGTAAAATAATTAAAAGGTACACAATGGCACTATATGAAATAAAGGTTATGTGAAAATATCATTAAATTTTATTCAGTAGTATAAGAGATAGTACCCCAAAGCATAGCAGACAGACATGAACTATTACAAAGACAAGTGCCTGTGTTGTAGATGCACTTCCCCAAAATATGTTTTTAAAAATGTTGATTACTTTTTTTTAAGGAGTAAGATCAGAAGTTAATGTCTGACCAAAAAAAAAAAATGAATTCATACAACGATAGTTTTCTTTCCTCTCCTGAAAACGAAAAATGCTAAATGTGATGAATGTTGATTCAAAGATTATTTACAACTACTACAAATAGTTTATCTTTTTTAATTCGAAAAGAAACAGTTGAAATAACAATAATGTAAAATCTACTTCGATGTCATACAGGAAAACATTTTGGGGCTCTTAAACCCCCCAACCCCTACTCACACACCTCCCCGGAGGTTTTTTTTTTTTTAATCAGCGATGAATCTTTTTATCAAACAAAGAAGACAAGGCCTCAACACCATAAACTGAAAATAAACTCAAGTCAAAATTTCAAATCAATATTACAATAGGTTTTTAAATAATTTTGAAAATCAAACAAAATTTTTCATGCTTTGTTTGTATTTAAATATTGCACAAACCAACATTATTTTATACATATGTGAAATAAATAGAGAAAAATACCCGGCAAAATCTGTATTGCACCCCATATCAACATTAGACTCGAATATCAGCCAGGGGGCCGAAGGCCAGAGGACTGATATTGGTCGAGGGTTGATATGGGGTGTGATACAGATTTTGTCATGTATTGTTTTTATTATATATTTTTAAAAAAGTGTCTAAAAATCATATATGTACCTTTTAATAATTGAATGTGTTCTGTTTTTGTTGAATTTCCTTTCTTGTTATTATTTTTTTCCCAAGGCAATGCATTCAGCGATAAGAAATGAAATATGTTATGAATGAAACAAATAATTATTTTGAATAACATAAGGTATATGATGAAATAAAATTACAATTCAAATAAACTTCATTTTTTACAGATTAGAAAATCCGAAAATAAAAATGCAACGTTAGCGTACTTGATTTTACACAGTATTTACGTAGGAAACGAATAATAAACAGCTTCTTTTATTTAATTGCGAACACAAACAAATTCATACAGATAAAATAATCTGTTCATAGGTTTAAAATATAAAGATATAAGATTTGTAGCAAATTTTATAATTATTTGTTTATAGTTCATAAAATCCATTAATATTAAGAAGAAACCATTCAACAAAACCAATGTGTAAAATTTTAGTGCAAAGCGACAATCCACTGTGCGACTTAGCTACATCTGAACGTAACAGAAAAGAGTTCCAATATTTGTAAACAAAACAACGTGATTTGTTATATATATATAATTCTGTTTCGTAACCATGAAATGGGGTTTATTTTTGGGTACACGAATGGTCAGGTATGTAGGCGCAAAAGATTTTTACAATCATTGTCTTTATGACTAGCTCAAATAACTTCAATTTGAGAATATTTTTGTAAAATCTCTTCTCAAAGTGAAACCGGTATCTGCGGTATACACCAAGTTATTACAAAGTGAAAGAAATTCGCAGTGTTAGCTGCAGAACTGTAGCGTTATGGTTTTACATTTTAGTCTTGGAACTGTAGCGTTATGGTTTTAGATTTTAGTCTTGGTCAAAGACTAAAATGTAAAACCATAACGCTACAGTTCTGCAGCTATCGCAGTGTATGAACAATTGAGATGGGTGTAGGAGATCTTGGTTATGAAAACAATTTACATAAGAGGGTTGGGCTAAGTCTATATGCATAAGACAGCTGTAAGGTGTATCATACACATGTTACATATAACAATTAAGTGCAATTATAATTTATTTCTTTTCCAGAGGTCGAGCGGCAACATCAAGAAATCTTGGAAATCAGAAAAAAATTCATTCTTTCAATGATCATCAGGTATTTCAAAACGTAGAATGAGTTATACTTTGTAAAATGCAGAATTTTAATCCGATCTTTGATAATATGTGCACTCACAGAATTTTCGTGAAAACTGCATCAAAGAGGTATCTATTATATTGTCTAATAACTATATATTTGACTGTAATTCAGATGTACAGAAGCCCCACCAGGAAAGTTTTTCCAGCTGTTTCATCATTTCTTGCCCTTGCCTTCTTCAGTAAAACACCCTTAGTAGACTGTCCCCATCAACAGTCAGTGGATCCAGGTGCTGCAGATCATAACAGTAGGTATGTATACATATGTGTGTGTGTGTGTGGAATAAACTGGACTGATTTGATCCAGGTATTTATTTTCTTCCATCATTTACACTGATTTTATTTTCAGAATTTCTTATTCCAAATTGTACTTTTTTAAGTTACATGATTAAAATTTAATCATGTTTATTGTTTTTATAATAATATAATACATTTAATGCATTTATTATTATATTATGTATAAAAACAAGAAACTTATTAATGGGTTGTGTGAGATACTAGTATTTTGTAATTGAATCATATGGATGAAGTGCATTTTGTATGATATTACTTATTGATAAATCACAACTACAATGGGACATTTTAGTCTGAAATTGATTATAAAAGATTGCTTAATCCCCCAGCAACAAGATGTCTGCCAAACTACAGAAGGCTAAGCAGGAAGCCCTGTGGGGCATGTTTGTGGCAGATGCTCTAGCCATGCCAGTACACTGGTACTACAATCCAGCAGACATCAAGTCTGGTTATGGAGGGTGGTTGACTGGTTATAGGGCTCCGGAGAAACACCATCCCTCGAGTATCCTCACTATATCTGCCACAGGTAACTAGCTGGTTCTGTAGCTTACTGTCACATACAATATTGTGGGTTTTTTTTTAAATTTTCCATATCAAAATTGTAATTGTGATCATTCTTCCAGAAAGGGAGACAAGATATGTACTCTTCTACTCTTTTGGGCTATCTTTGATATCCCTTAAATTTGAATGTAATTCCATTATAGGAGGCAGTGGTCGATCTGGATGGGGTCAAAAGAGCAAACCCATAATAGGAGATATAATTCTACATGATAAGCTTAAATACTGGACCAGCAATGACAGAACTGTCCATTATCATCAAGGTGAGTAAACTTATTATATAATTATTTTTTATCACAGTTTACTGACAGGACATTTATTGTGTCTCATCCTCTGCCTGTGCATAAACAGTAAAACATGCTTAGAGCGAACACGCTTATAATGAATTGATGCTTATAGTGAGGTGATTTTTTATTCCTCTTGATTTGAAAATATATTGAACTCTTAACGGATATAAAGAATTATGCTTATAGGAAGCAAAACTGTCACTCCCTGGTAATTTGTTATAAGCGTGTTTTACTGTAGCTCAATTTTTTTCTGATTGTCAAACTAGTTAAAGTGTCAGAATTATTTGCTTTAACTTCAGCATACTTAAAAGTGCTTTATACACTTAAACATTAAAAAAACTGGGAGCTAGATGGTGATGAAAAAATTGATGAAATGGATCCAAGATGCACGAAGAGTGCATTCATAACTTAGAGTGTAGTGTTTGAAATCTGAAAAATGTGAAGTAAATTGTTGATGATAAAGGGAACACACTCTGAAACTGAAGGCTCTGAAACTGAGGCCTCCTTTGCCATACTATCTAAATTTTTTTTTATAACAAATAAAAACCATAACTATTTTACCTCTCATAAAAAATGGATGAAAAATCACTCTGCAAAAAAAGGGTGCACCAGTTTGAAGAATTTATACACACCTATTTGAAACACCTAGCAATTTCTTTAATCTAAAGAAAGGTTCTTAAATATTCCAGATAACATTGTTTGTATCAGTATAATAAATCTAGGCTTGCTATTGTGGAAGTGCTTCTTCCTGATTCCCTCAATAATGTACTTTTACTGTTTAATGTTCAAATTACTGCTGGTTTCCTGAAATCAAATAGTTTTACAGGTGTGTATAGAAAATTATCTGATTCCTGGACAACCATAGGAACAAATTAAATTTCTTTATTCTCAATTCTGACAGGAATGAAACCAGGGGACAATACTCTAAATCTCTCAATGGCACTAAAAATGCTACAGACCATGCAAACAGCTGATCCAAAGGCTACCATGGATCCACGAGAATTACGTGGTAAAGTTCTGGAGCAATACGTGAAATTTATGACTTCTCCAGGGTCCCATAATGATACATATGCTGAGTCATTCCATAGATCATTTTTCAAAGACTGGAGCGAGAGCAAAACTCGCCCAAAGGTAGCTGAAGAAGTATTAAAGTGGGCAGAGGAAAGGTTAGACGATTTATATAATTATGTAGTATCCAGCACTATGATAATAGAAAATATGCCCCTTAAACGTTCTTTCAAAAGGATGTTGTTTGGTTGCAGTTGCCAAGACAGTTATCACCTTATGAATAGCAAATTATGATAATTTTTGTCGTGGGAAATAAGACCTTGATTTTTATGCACCAGGAAACAATAAGTTTAGAAAGTTGTGTTAAATGTTCATTTTTGAAGAACTGTAGCTGTCTGGTTGAGACAATCTGGACAGAAAAACCATAGAGCTACAGATCCAAACATTGTAAAAACCTTCGATTTACTGCACCTTTTTTGTCGCACGCTTTGGATATTATTGCTAGCATTAAATACGTTCCCCACCAAGAGCATGGTACATGTATCCGTTAATTAACCGGGTATTTTACTCTTAACCTTGTTACTTTATTTTCCTTCCAACAGTCCCGAACAACCGTATATTACATTCGTGTTGCGATCACGTGGTTTAGGACCGTTGAAAGGTAAATAAGGTACCAAGATTTGGATTAAAATTTGGTCATATACAGTATAATAATTTTTTATTACACCGTATATTGCCAAATTTTAAATCTTCGTAAAAGTGCTTCAGGTACCTGTGTTTTAAACTAGAATGCTCTAAGGAAGGCATGGGTCGCCTGCTATAGCATCATCAAAGATATAATAAATCTAAGAGTGGTCAGCTATTAATGGAATCCGGATATTATGGAATCCAGATAGGACCATGTAGTTCCCTATCGCAACATCGAGGTTTGAATCGATAGTGCGATGAGATGAAGCGATGGCGCGACAATGCGATGACGATAATGCGATAGCGCCGGTGCGTTAGCGATGACCCGATGACGATGGTGCGATGATTCGATGACAATAAACGATGTTTACTATCCTCCGTCGTGCTATCGCACCATAGTCAGCGCGCCATTGCACATCATCGTCATGGTGCCGTCGACCCTTCAATCGATACTCGATGGTCCGATCATGAACTACGTGGCCCTATCCGGATTTCATAAATCATGCAATTGCCTGCAAAGAAAAAAAAATATTCACATATAATGACCTGATGACTGCGAGAGAATAGCTTTTATCATAAAGTGTGACAATGAAATAGAATTGTGATTCCTCAACCATCGAAGCTAAAATGAAAAACGAAATCAATATAAACAAGCTAATTCAGAGAATTTGTGAGTCCCACTTGAGGAAAAAAAAAGAACATGCACGGATCTAGAACGGGGATCGGGAGTCCGAACCCTAACCCCACCCCACCCCGGAATTTTCAGAGTTATTAAATGTATATATTGAAGCAAATAAAAAATAATTTTGCCCCCCCCCCTCCTAGAAAACGTGAATCCCTGTTAAGAAGTAGGTTTTCATGTTTTTTTTTAATTTTGTCAAGAAATTCTGGGTTGGAAATTATTTGAACCCCCCCCCCCCGGAAAAAATCCTGGATCCGCGCCTGGAAGACGGTGGAAGAAATGGAAAAAAAATTGCAGATGGAGAAAGAAAAAAGGTCAACCTTGTCCTTTCAGATTTTTGCATTAAGGTCACATAATTATTTTTTAAAGATTGGGGCGGGTGGGCATATTTTATTTTTTATTTTCTATTACCTTAAACATCTACATAACGATCTTCTTATACAAAATCACTGGAGTGTGTGTGTGGGGGGGGGGGGGGGGTCAAACGACTTGCGTGACCTAGGCTATCTGTCTTTACTGCAACTTAATTTGAAGTACGATCCATTTCGGTGTACCGATTCAAATGTATTTTCATTATATTTAAATTAAGTTCAGTTTGTATGATAACTGTATTGTATACAGGTTCAAGTACAGTGGCATGAGGTCATAAACATGTAATATATATTACTTATCAAATCCCTGCGTCTCAAAATTAAGAAGGCAGAAGATATATTAACCGTTCAGAGTATTTTTGAAAAGTACACGTAGGTCAAAAGTCAATGTCAAGTGAATCGTAACGCTGGTATTTTTCATATTAATGTCTTATGACAAACAGTGCACGTGATATATAGCACAGACTTACCTCTCAGATATCATAAAAATTAAATATGTTTTATATCGGCATTATGAACTATAATTTTTAAAAGTAGGTCAAAGGTCAAGTTGAAAGGCCATGAGGTCGGTAAAAAGGTATTTTACAAAGTTCATAATGCCTAGGCAAGCAATACATGACCAAAATATCAAATCCATACCTCTTATAATTATCAAGATATGAGGTATGACAGATGGATAGAGAGTAAACGTCGAGTAAAGTGCTCTGCCCTGCAGGCGACACAGAAATGATCGGCAAGTACATTTTAACGTACTGTAAGATTTCACACAGAAAAACTAAATTTCTCAAAAGGAACGTGAATAGCATTGTTAATTATGTCCTTGCGTAACATTCGTTTATGAATTAATTTTTCTCGAAACAGTTGATAAAAAAATATTTTTTAACAAATGTCGCTAGCACTGGTTTTCTCTCCTTGATTCCAGTCTCTGCCACTAGGAAATCCAAGATCGTTTGCGAAGTTGTCCCTGAAACACCTTCATTGGTTTTCCTTGGCGCTCGTTAACCAAATCAGGGGACTAGTCAATTAAAACAGACAAATTCCTGCGCTCATTTAGAAAAATTGTTTCGTGCAGCATGAGACAAGAAATGATTTTAAAAAAAAATCTCTTTCCTGATTTCAACACAATAAATAATTTGAAAGAATTACAGGAATACAGGAACCCCTACAATGTATATCATAACCGGGTCAACCTCATTCGGGCCTCCAGCCCATATACCTTCTAAACCTTAAACACCGGAGTATTTGAGTGTAGCAGAGTCCAGGATGACATTGGGACGCTCCCGGAACCAATGAGAGAACACACCAAGCGGAGCAACTCGTACAATCCTTGAGCTTGGTCGGAGTGACCCAAATAAAATTTAAACAAATTTTTATTTATGCGAAATGACTCTTGGATATTAGAATTCCACCTCCAATGTAGGAAGGACCTTTCCTGACCAAATTCGGCTCACATGTGTTGTGGAGTGGCGATGTTACCCAGCCTGTATAAAATGCAACCAGAGACGGACATAATTCAACTTACCCGGCACTCTTTATTAAATTAAACAATCCATTTGTACTATATATTTATAATTACAATAAATAATTTCACACAATATACTAAATATTATGATAACTATTACTACTTTTAATATAAAATATTTTAACCTGTAAATGAAATGAGCCATCTGAAAATTTAATAATTTTACAAACACGCGCAAATCTACAAAGTGAATAAAATGCAAACAGAGACAGACCCCGCCGCGTTTATATCCCTGTATCCGTACATCCCCATATTTGATATTCCTTCAAATTTGCAATAAAAGCTTTAAATTTGAATTTGAATTTTTAGTTACCATTATTTTGTCCTCCACACTCTTTAATTTCCTACTGCACTTTAAAAATCATTTCCAATTTTTAAATTTTATTTGTCGCAGCTAATTTATACCATCAACTGACCTCTGTTCACTTCAATACTATGAGTTGCTCCTTCATCCTAACTCTTTTGATAAACAAGTAAACAAACGCACGCCAATGAATCATTTTCCTGTAACCGTGCAGGTGAAAAGGTCAACTCCTTGTGGCCAGCATCTATGTTTATTTTTATCTCAATTGCAAGAGCTCGTATCTGTTACCTCTCTCAGCCAAATACACAAAAATATGTTACATTCTTATTTTTTATATACATTGTAATTTTGAATATGATATAGCAAACAAAGTTACTGTTGTCCGTTGCGTAAGGTACATTTGCCGGATGTCTCTATAGAATCAACCGTGATCCTCCAAAGCCGCTCACAAAAAGTGGGAGGAGATCAGGAAAGCCCATAAAAATTGACAAACGTGCAAAAAGACATTGTTTTGTGTGAAATCCAGATTGATTAAACAACACCCTCATAGAATATACATGTAAACACGTTTCAATGTCTGACAGGTCTACTAAGTGGCCATTGACATTACGATGTCAATATCAAATACAAGACTGTCATTAGAAAATCATTTTAAAAAACATTCACAGAAGAACTGTAATATGTATGATATATAGGTGGGAGCACAGAAACTGGACGGTCACTAGCTATTCATTGGTAAAAGGTTAATATGTTTTTTTGTAGAGTAAATTTTCTGTCGCGTGAAAGACAACCGTATGTAAGTCGTAATATGATGAAGACAGGCGTTATACCTTACATGTAGTTACGCAATTTATTAATTATGCTGTATTACTCGGGATTATGTGAGGTTATTTAACTGTATTTTAAGATTATGTAAATGTCAGGATGTATATTAATTTCCTGGAATAGCACTTATTGAAAAAAAAATCAAAATGTCAAGTTTTAGACTGATGACCTGTTCGTAACGGCACTGGCATGTAGAGAAGTTTCTTGACATCCGAAGAAACAACCGCAGTCTCCTGCATCTCCTCTCTCTGATCCCGACTAGAATGTAGAAAATAAATTATAGAGCAAAAGTCTACGTAATCGAGCAGGCATATGATGACACATCGTTTTTTAGGTCACCTGAGTCACTCAGGTGACCTATTGCCATCCGTTCTCGTCCGTCGGCGTGCGTCGTGCGTTAACATTTGAACATTTTTAGCTTCTTCTCTGAAACCGCTTAACCAATTTCAACCAAATTTGGCATATAGCACCTATGGGTGAAGGGGAACAAAAATTGTGAATTTCATGGTCCCTTCCCCCCTGGGGCCTGAGGGGTGGGGCTAAAACCACCAAAAATAATGCAATCTTTAAAAATCTTCTTCTTTACTCCTGGACATCAAGTAGTCAAACTGTTAGCATCATTGTAATAAGCATTGAGCCCTCTACCAAAATTGTGAAATTCATGGCCCCAGGGTCAGGGGTTCTGGCCCCAGGGTGGGGCTATATAGATCATATAGTGAAAGTGCATTATTTCTTTGAAAATCTTCTTCTCTGCTCCTGGGTATTAA